TGCAGCACTAACACTGCTAAAGAATAAGGCTGCACACTCAAAAAAACTTACGAAATGTGACAGCAAGCTCACACTGAATGATGGAAAATGCCCTTCATTTACTTACACTATTAAATTCTGGAAAGCTGCACGCATCAACAAAATGTTCACCCATAATGGTTAGTTGTATGTCTCCGGAGTGCTCTGATATAGCAACGCCTGGAATTCCTACCTCATTGAGAAGCTGACTCAGAATCTGACTCACGTGTGATCCTGTGCTGATACTTCTCGATCACCTTCAGCAGCTCTGTGCACGTAGACTGAACGGAGCGGAAGAACTGCAGAGACAAACAGGAACGATCTTGAGAGCTTTTCTTAAAACATCTCCTTTTGATTAACCTTTTTGCTTTTTTTTTTGAAAGTCAAGTTTTGTTCTTTAACAGTGCGACGTTTGCTCCTCTTCACTGCTGACAATCACAAAACAGAACAGATTTTTATGGCCCTTTCCATCTGTTGTCAGTGAGCTGCCTCTTCTCCCGCCTGGTAGACAACAGCAGTGACTACATGTGTCATAGCAACACATATTCTGAGGCCATTTTAGTGCTGCTGTCTGACAGAAAGGAAAGGGTCACCTTGATCTCTAGAGTCTGCTGAAGAATAGTAAGTAGTAGTTTAAAAAATAAATAAATAAAATAGTAGCACTACAGTATAGAAAGTACATGTACAATCTATTTGTATTACTAGAGCTATTTTATAATATACTGCAACACTGAACATCGGTTCTTTAACTTGTTAGTTACTGTCTTGGAGCAACTGTGTCCACATAATTTCCTCTGGGTTTAATAAATTATTCCGATTCTTTGTCTTATTCTTAGCAGAGAGACGGGCTCACTGAAGATTGTGAGACAGCAGAAGTTGTGGGTGTGCTGAACATGTGTAGTTACTCTTTAACTGTAGAGTAAACAGTCATTAACTTTAATCTGGACCTCAGCGGTGGCCAAACATATCAGCATACAGGTGACTTCTCCTGCACAACGCCTCTAAGTAAAACGAGCATTACTAACCAAGCTTTGCACTTACTGTGATTTTCTAGAACATAAACACAATGACACAGAACAATATATACAAAATTCATTAATCATGAATTCCATTCTTCTATATGCAATATAACAATGTGCTGCTCCGTAAATATGACGGGAGGTTTTATTTTAATAGATTACGTGTCACAAATCAATACTAGCAGAAAGAGCAATCTGAAGACGCACAGAGGTACCTTTTGTCTGTCTCACAGGGGGATGCATTTCTTCTGTTCTCCTGAGAGCAGAAGAACAGAAGAAAGATAATCTCGTACCAGAGCAAAACAAAGGCCTTTAGGGCAGAACCTGCACGACTAAATAACAGCCGTGTTTCAGCAAACCCAGAGAAGTGCTCTTCTTTGACGAGAAGTAAAAGAGCACACTGTACCCCAACCAGCTGTTGTTGCAAAAGTCTCATGAATAATTAGCACTCATGTAAGTGGACAGGGAAAAGATCTCTGTAAGCAATGGACACCAGGAAACAATGCACTGTAGGTAAGAGCTTTTCGGTTGTTATTTTGATATGTGTGATTCCTTTTATTTTCCTCTCAGCAGCAAAACAGCAGGCAACAGAGTTTACGACAGTTTAAAGATGCATTCATTATTTTGATATTCAGATTACTGCTGACTACTGAGTGATCAAGGCCACAGTTGCTTTAGAGACCTTTGAAATGTTCTCCACTCACCTACAAGACTGTGAACACTAAACAGTTATTTTATCTCTAAGAAGAGATATCCAATACTGTCTGCCTTCTAATGAACCGCATTTCACTTATTCTAGCTGTTGTCTTGTGAAAAGGTGAGCGATTTAAAAAAACAACAACAACAACAACAACAGGTAGGTGGAAGAGTTTGTGATCTGTACTAAACTTGCAGATGCAGTTTTCTCCAGGAGCAAATGGACGTGAAGCCACCGGGGCAAATGCTGGTTCAGTGCCGTGCTTTTAACTCAAGCAGGGAGTTTAGCACTCCTGTGGTTACTCAACTGAAACCAAATCCTTCCCTTGGGAAAAGGACAAAATCCTTAGGAAGTTAGCCTGAGTACTATACAGCAGAGAACTTTTTTTTATTTAGACAAGACAAGAATATTTTCTTGTCTTCAAACTTTTTCTAAAATATCAATGTATTATGTGAAAACAGAATGAATGTTTTGTGCTTTCTTTGTGAGTTAGCAGGACTTTGTAGGGGGTTTTATTTTGAAAGGTTTTGAAAAGAACAGGATGAAAATCGCAAGTTCATCGCTGTATCTTAAACAGCTGGCTTGCTCACTGCTGAATGGGGCAAGGTTGTTTCCTGGCATAGATTCCCGGCCTCCCAGGGAAAAGAATGGAGGTCGACACCTGCGCCTCACAAGCCACAAGTTAGAATTAGGGTTAACTGTAACCCTATTAATACATATACTATATGTATTCATTTATCCTCTCCCAATTACATCTGTCATCCACCCATCTGCCCTCCACAATCCCTGACCTAAAACAGCTAAGTTAGGATAAGTTATGGCTATCTGTGGAAGACAGAAGAGTCGAACAAGATCAAACCAATATGACGGAAAATAAAGGAAAAACAAACATCCTGTAGTTCCTGTGCTTAAAGCCATTCCTCAAAACTTCAAGTTTGTGAGCTGCTTTTTTCCTACTCTGGAAGCTGTTATTTAATTTTAAAAACTGTATTTTCTCAACAGAATTTCTTTTTCTTGAACAGCCCCAGGCTCTTTTGAATAAATTCCTCATTTTCCTTCAAATTTTGAGCAATGAATATCATCTTGTGTGTCGCCAAATATTAAAACACTCTTAAGCCTGTTCTTCCCCACCTCGAGCTTAGCATCCAGGTCAGCATCCGAGGCCACCACATACTCATCCTCCTTCTTGCCTGTGGCTTTGATGAGGACCTGTTTGGTCTTCCAAAATTTCTTCTGCATACGGGCCATCACTGAGCTGTCCTCGCCAAGCAGAGCCCGGCCACCACTCAGCATGTCTCCGGCAAACCTGGAGCCAAGGACATGACGTTGTCAGCAACATTTTTTACCAGGCTCTGTGTGTGTGTGTGTGTGTGTGTGTGTGTGTGTGTGTGTGTGTGTGTGTGTGTAAATTGCATATAATGCTCACAATAATAACAAATTTTCACCTACCCGTCCATAGTAGATAACCACTGTTCTAAAAGTATACAAAACAACAGTTTAGACAGATGGAGAGAATAGTAGCATAAAGCATAAATTAATCATTTTAGGTTTCTGTCTAGGTGAAGATTCCTCAACGCAAAAATACATAAGCAGACAGCAGATATGATAGGGGGGAAAGGGTTTTGTACAAAAGTGAATAAAATCCATCTATTCAACGTTTAACACATCATTGAGTAATAAAAGATATTCCTGCAGTTTAGCTTCCTGTATGACTTCGATGTACACACAAACACAAAAAAGCAGTAAACATGCCTGAAGCCTGAGCTGACATATAATCAAGTTACAAACGCTTATGTGGGTTTATTTTGGCCCAAACGCCTCGGTGCTGAGGGCTAAAGAAGCTAATCTAAAATGCCTCGAATATGGAGCAGGGATCAGACACCTGCGACTTCAAGGAGTCAGGGAGAACTGAGACAGCTGGATATCGAGCATTACATTTCAGCAAAATAGAGCTCTCTGACACGTAACCCCCCCCCCCCCAAAACCAGGTGTCGTTCGGACATTTATCTACACAGAGTACAATTATGAAAGGGTAAACACGTAAACGAAGTAAACGAACTAAGGAAGCGCAAAGGAGCTTGTGTGCTAGCAGCAGTTTAGCTAGTAGCAGGTTTGATGGTTAAAGCTGCGAAACGTCTTGAGACCATCTAACTGAGCGACCGTGCGTTTTACTGAAAGTCTTTCATTGTATGGCTCCATCCTCTGTAAGGTGAAAACAGTGTTACCTTTATTTACTTTCTCTCCAGCACTCTGTGCATGTATTCAGCTCAGCTAGCCTCCTCTGACGATAGCCATCACCATCTGAGTAACAGAAACAGGATATGGTTAAGCAGCTGCAGCGATGTATGAACACTAGAAGCCGCTGTTAGACAGCTGAATTCAAAGATCGTCTGTTGACAGGATAACCTACCAGAGGATAATCGGTTCTTTCCTCCGATACGTAAAGATGGACGTGATTTGGACGTGATTGGCGTGATAAATAAATATATAGCATGTTAAATCTATATGTGTTCTACGTGATAATGTCAAAAGAAACTAGAGATTCTGATGGTCGTGATACTGGCTATATGAGTCAGTCTATAAATAGTGAATGTAACTAAAATTCAAAATGAATGTAGATATAATTATTTATTATAAATGAATGAGTCCCTTAGGAACTTCAGCACCAATATTGGTGCTGAAGCTGAAAGCTTATCTGGTCATATCAGTTGGTTTCAGTCGTCAAGTTGTTAAGAAAGTTATGTTAGGCATATTAATCAAGGAGGAGTTGGAGCTCCTTTTTTCATCACACCTCCACTGACACACCAGTTGGAGGAAATAGTCAACAGGTTGACTTTGGCTCTTGAGAAATATGAGGAAGTTTATAATGTGTTAAACATTTTTAAAAGGTAGTTTATTAATATAAACCTTGAGGTTGCCCAACTGATGTTGTGTAGGCATTTTGCTAATTGAAATGAACTGAACGATCCTCTCTGCAGACCTGATTGCCCATTGTCCTTCTTCGCGGCTGAGCAAAACCAAACAGTGACTGGTGTGCAGGACAGACTGGATGATGGTGGTGTAGAAGATGACCAGCAGCTGCTTCCACTGACAGTTCTGATCTGTCAAATGTTTCTTTAACTTGAGTAACTGGAAGACTAGTCAGGGTTGAGGGAAAGATGAATCAGTACAGTGACATCCTTGATATCCTGCTCCAGAGCACACACACACTTTATAAACTGTTATATATAAATACTGTATAGTTAAATGAAGGTGAGGAGACAACATTTTAGGAGAAAGATTTAATTTATAATCTGTTTGGATAACACTGAAACGAGGACGAGCTGTAAGAACATTTGTGTAAAACGAATCAGGAAAGCAAAGAACAAAGCCAAGATATTTGTCCAACACTTTGAAGTCCTTGATTGAAGTCCTGAATATTGTCTTTGTGTCTGTCTGTCCAATGTGTGCTGAATCTTTATGCCTCTGCCTGTTGGGCTGAGTATCTGTAGGTGTACAACTTGTTATCTGCGCCTCCACTCAGCATCAGCTGCAAACAGAAACAGAGAGAGGACACTGTGAGAACATCACTGTTTCCATCTATCAACTGTTGGTGTGCAAATATCGTACACATCGTACCCCACTTTCTGTCCAGTCCACACAAAATACTTTGTCTTCATGGGCCGCCAGGTCATACAGAGGAGCCTTACAGCTGGGAGACAACAGAGAAATGTTTTAAATATGTAAAGAGTAGAAAATATTTCTGTTAAAGAAGTAATCAGAACAATAAATACTTAGGTCAAGTACAGATGCCTGAAAATTCTATTTAAGTACAGTAACTAAGTATTTGTACTTCAATACTTCCACCTCTGGTCATGTCCCATTAGAAATATGTTCCTTGTGACTAGAGCGGAGCCCTTAACAGTAGTACCAATTATGAGCTTCACTTACCTTCTGGTATCCCAAAGTTTGACTAGGTTGTCAAGGGAACCCGAGACCAACTGGTGCGCATGTGATGGTGCCCACTTGACAGCGGTAACCCAGCCAGTGTGAGAGGTCAGCGACAGCAGAACAAGAGACCCATCTGAAAGAAGAGTTGTAAAGATGACAAGAGTGACAAACAACAATACAAGTCGAAACATAGATGTCTGTGACATTTAGAACAGTCGTACCTTTGGTGCGAGGGTCCCACAGTCGGATGTGTCTATCGGTGCTACCTGAGGCCAGCCGTCGACACAAAGGTGAGTAGGAAATACAGTTAAACACTTTGCTGCCCGTCTGTGAAAAGAAAAACAGTGAAACTGGTAAATACTGGAAAACTGAGTATATGCTAACAAAAGGTAAACTTGGTGGTTGATAAATATGCTATTTCAAACTATTTGAGATGAATTAGTCTGCAACCCTAATTTTTCTTAGGATTGGGACATGCATTGCATACATCCACTACACACAGGCATATAGCAGTAATACGTAGTGTATGTCACTGGTTTGATTTCCTCTATTATAGGCATTTTAAATCACTCATACACTGAAGAAACAAGTCAAATTGTGGCTCTGAGTCTTTTTTATCATTTATACCTGTGTTTCACCCTCTGTGACATAGCTAATAGAATAAAAGCCTGTAAATGGTAAATGGCCTGTATTTGTATAGCACTTTACTTAGTCCCTATAGACCCCAAAGCACTTCATACTACATTCAGTCATCCACGCATTCACACACATGTGATGGCAGCTACATTGTAGCCACAGCTGCCCTGGCGCACTGACAGAGGCGAGGCTGTCGGAGACTGGCGCCACCTGACCCTTTGACCACCATCAGTAGGCAACGGGTGAAGTATCTTGCCCAAGGACACAACGACCGAGACTGTCGGAGCCGGTGCTCAAACCGGCAACCTTCCGATTACAAGACAAACTGCCAACTGTAGGATGATGCTCATTAATCTGTCACATGAAACAACCAAAAGTGTTTATTATCGCTAATTCAGTCACTTTCTATTTTTCTCACCAACGTAGTTTTCATCCCTCCAGTATCGACGTCCCATATGCGGATGGTGTGGTCCCAAGACGCACTACAAACCTCCTCACTGTCACACCACAGGACAGATGACACTGCCTCGCTGTGTCCCGATAATGTCATCAAGGGAGTCTGTGCCCAAGAAAACAAAAACTCATTTTGCAATGACTTAGTGGGCTTATTCTCCAGTCAATCATACTCTGGTTGTGCACTCACCCTGGTAAGGCCAAGCTGCTGAGTCTTCTGTTTTTTCCTTGGTCTGTCAGCCGGCTCCTCGATCTCATCCTGCTCATCTGTAGGCACTGACAGCACAGGAAATATAGTTTATAGCAGCATCACAACAATACCTTTTTTTAACAATAAAGAGGCAGTTGAATCATTCTGGGATCATACCTGCTGACCAGATCTTCAACATTTTGTCCCAGGAGCCACTGCAGAACTGAAAGTGTTTACCACAAACATCCAAAGTCATTAATCGCAGCACTCATTGTTGTCTTTTAAGTTTTTGTCTTGCCCTCTCCAACCTTACCTTCGTTCCTGTGGGGTCTACAGAAATGGTGTCAACACTCCCCGCGTGTCCACGACAGCAATGTCTGGCTTTCACCTTGTTTCTCTCCGAGTTCCACTCCCACAGTAACACGGTTTGGTCCAGAGAGGCCGTCAGAAGCAGAGAGGTCAGACCCTCTACACAGAAAACATCCACAAAGAGGACTTAATAAAGCCTTTGACTATTAACATAGCAGTACATGTCTGTTTCATTTTGTCCCACTTACCTCTTTTGACCCAGGCTACGTCTTTGACCACATCTGTATGTCCAGCCACAGTCATCGCAGGCTTGCCCTCAGTAGACCAAATTCTGGCAGTCTTGTCGTATGACCCTGTTAGGATCCTGCAGGGGAAAAAATAAGGGTCATTCCATTTCAAATCATTATGAGCCTTCTTCTCAAACATCTTCAGTTTCACTAAAGATTTTATGGATATTGTATATAAAAAAAATGTTGCTGTGAAATTTTATGTTCATATAGAAGCTTCGAGCTTCTGGTTCTTTGCCATGTACAAGAACTGAACTGAAAAAGAAGCCAATGTCTAAAGACAAATTAGACAAGACTTTCAGAAAGCCTGCAGCACTATTGCTCTGGACCATTTTAAAAGGAATAGAAAGTCTGGCTCCTTGGAAGTAAAAGATAAAGAATAAGGGGTGGTTTAAGACTTTTGTTTAGCTAATGAACAACCAAGAAGACAAAAAAAGAAAATATGAACACATCACAACAAACTTTTTGCTGATCTAATTTCCCAATTAATAAAAAGCACACTGATGGTCTGCTCTTAACCATCTTACCATTCAGCATCAGCATCTACAGAGCTAATCCAGTCATCATGCATCATACACTCCTCGGGTTCTGGGGCCGTGATCCGCTCCACGTATTCTATCTCCACAACTTCTTCCTGGAACATGGGCAAACAGAGTAAAACATCTGGTTAATGTTGTTTTACTCATGTGGATGCTTGTGACTCGCTTTATACAATATATCCATACGAGTTTAAGCACTATAGCAGGCCATACCGTCGATATACCCTCTGTCGCCATGTGAGTTGACAGTGAGGTTCGCAGGAACTGACCCCTGACCAGGAAGTCAAAGTCCACTTTACTGTGAGAAGCTGTTAAGAGAACCAAATAAATTATCTGAGATTTTTAGAAGTACAGTCTGTGATAAGGACTACATTTGACATACACATACACAAACATATAGCACAACCATTTAAAAATACTACTAAAACTAAATCTACAGAACAATCAGGTGCCACAATAAGATGCCACACACAGTATTTGTGCCAGTGCAAAAAATGGTTTGTCTGCTACAAGAAAGTGGAGAACACCACAGGCCTAAACCCTGCAGGCCTAACAGCAGGAGGTGCATCACTCAGTCTGTTCTTCACCTGGAGACACTCGTTCTCTCTTTCTCTCTCCCGCAGCCGTCATTCCAAAAATGTTCACCTCTTCCTAAATAACCAAATCCCATGTGTTGCCAAATAATTTTTTATTGGTCAATATGGTACACTTTTACACTAATACAAAAGGGGTGGCATTTTTTCCTGATCTTTTTTTGTGCTGTCCTTAGAAAACAAACTTTTTACCATTTCATCCCACATTAAATGTGACAATAGTAGAAAAAAGCATCACATGTATTTTTATGATTGTAGGTCCGGATTTAGTGGCCTATCAATAAAATTTAAAAACTGGTGTATAGTTTGAAGTCTGAACTTTCAACACAAGTTGAATGGAGATTAAACGTGGCTGCAGCTTGTTGCTATGGCATCTTAAATCGGTCAGGTGATTTGGAGATGAGGCGTGTCCATAGACCCCAGAGTGTAACAATCAATGCCTGTGTGAAATCTAAAAATGCCCATGGCATTGATTCAAAATGTACTCTGGCACAATCGTAAGCATCAGTTGCTTACAAGAATATTTTAGGGCATACCAGCACATAGATCTGCCATGCGGTGCCACCACGTGCCACAACATGTAGATCCGCCCCTGTGATTGAGGATTAGGATTATAATGCTATTTATTCTGTGTTTACAGCTCTGCAGCTGGAGGCTGAATTGTAAAGAAGGTGGGGAATAGTTTGTGTGCCTATGATAAAGTGAGCTTACCATTTTTAGCTTCCAGCAGCTTGTTGATTACATTGCTGAGATCCTGCACTTCGGATGCAGCTGGGATGGAGAACGGGACATCATCTACAACGTACCTACAGAGATAGACATATTTTAGCTGCTGCCGGAGTCTACATAACTTCACATTGTTAGCATTAGCATTTAAAAAAAAAACATCGCTACGAACTAGCCACGATCAGAACTACAGATAAAAAAAAAAATTTTGCTAGAGGAAAAGACAGAACATCCCACAATGAGATGATACTGTTTACTCTAAATTACAGCTAGCAAGTTAGCTAGCTCGCTTGCTTGTTTGTCATTTTCTGTTGAGTTTTTTCTTTCTTTCTTTTAAACCTCACCTTTTGTCTTCTGTGAAGAATCTTGCCTGTATCTGAGACATTTTTAGCTAAGTGTTTATTTTGCCAACCACGAGCTCTAGAATATTAAAATACAAGGAATCCTCATAACACGCTTCTCGTGCAGTTTTGCCATGTGGTACGAAACAAACCACTGCAAAACGAAAAGCAGAAGCTCTGCGATCGTCTAGTGACGCCTGGCCAGTATGCGAACTTCCGCTTCTCCCAAGCACCCAAGTTTGGTCACTCGGGAGTCCGGACTGACTTCCTTAGGATGGCAGAACTCAACGGTAATGTATTTAATGATAAATCCTCTACGAACCAGTTATTACGATGATTAGATGAACATCAATGTAAAATGTTTGTATTAATGACCTAAAAGATCTAGAGACTGCTTTTTACGATGTGAGATAGCATTTGTCAGTATACACGGTGGAATTTAATAGAAATAATATTTTTATTTCCATTGGGTGAACAAAATAACCAATACCAAAGTTTCCTCATAACTTCTGATAGCTTATCAGCACTTTTAATCATTAAAAACGAAGGTTAGCTTCACCTGACAATACAGTGTATTAGCATATGAGTATAAACACGAGTCCAAAGCATCAGGTCTAAGTATATCGCCTTTATATGTAATGAGAGCTTCAAAGGGTTTAAATGTTTTTGCCTAATTAAAAATGTAAATTCTTTACTAAAGCAAAAGTACAAACTCCGAAATGTACTCAAAGAAAGAAAGTAAAAATGAGCTCCAAGGAGGAAATTTTTTATAACCATTTTTGTACAAAGGTAACCTTATACTATATAAATGTAATAATAAAAATAATATTAGAACATGAAAATATAAATATTGTTATTTAAATTTTGATTCAAATTAATGTATTCAGTTTGAGAACATTTTATACCTATTTTCTATTGCCTACTTATAGGGTGACTTTGCCTCCACACCAACAGTAAAATAAGAAAAGTCAGGGGTTACGGTGGGATTCAAAAGGTGGGGGGAGTATTGGGGCCACATTAAGAAAATAATATATTGTTCATCATTTTGAGAGTACAGTAAAAATTTCGAGATTAAGTCGAACATCTATTTTGAGAAAAAAAAGTTGACATGTGATTACAATTACAATTCATTGTTTAGATAGCTTAGTGAAACAAATTGATCAGCTGTCTTTTGATACATCATCTTCATTGCATGAGGGTGTAATCATCAATAACCTTGCATTAAGATCCATTGGTTGTTTTCCACCTAACCAGATCCAGCTTTCTACACCATCTTCTTAATGTCTTTATACTGATCACCACACTGTGTCTATGAGCTAAAAGAGAAATCATTTACTTTCTTGTTACTTAAACTGATTCTGAAGTATGGTTTGTCTTGAAACAACTGTAATCTCCACATTTTGATATTTCCTCAAAATACACTTTCAACTTTAATCTCAATATTTGGACTTTATTCTCAGAATGAACAACAATATTATTTTTCTTAATGTGGCCTCTACTGCACACATTTTGATGGTACATGCTGAAAATGATCCGAGTCATTTTGGACCGTTTTAGTGCCAAAATAAATAATTTGAAATTTCAGACAACCCCTCTCCAATAGTGCCAGACATCAACAGAGAAAATTATTAACTCATAAATAATTACACAACTGTTAAAAAAAAAATATTTTGCTTTCTAAGTATTCAAAAAATGTCAACCAATTTTTAAACAAATAACTAAGTATGGCTTGATACAGCCTTAGGTTCGAATATTAATTCTCACGTTGTGAGATTTTGCTGTCATTCCGTGACAGTGTGTGAAACTTTTCTTAACAGTTCTTCTGTGCTGTAAAACAAAGGTGCACATTACACTTTATACACATGCATCTTGCCTTATTTGAGTCAATACAGTTTTACTTGTATTCTGCCAAATCACAACAGAAATTGCCTGAAGGTGGTTTATATTCTAATGTATGAACCTACAATACAGAGAAAACTCTGACAATTAAATGGCCCCGTAAAATCAAGCACTTGGCTACAGTAGGAATGAAAAACTCCCTTGTAACAGGATGAAACCTCCGGGAGATCCAGACTCAGGGAAGGGCGACCATCTGCAGCGACCGGTTGGCTTGCCCTCTCTTATTGCTTCATTTTTTGAATTCATAAAGCAAGGACTAATATTTTCAAATTCTGTTTTCTTAATTTACTGATTAGGTACTGCTTGAATTTGCTTGTCCTTAAATGGCACCATTTGGTCATCCACACAATCTTGTATCTTTGCACTCATGTTATTTTCTTTATTTAGAGTGCAAGTCATTTTAAATATAATCACTAGAGCAAACTCCTCACATCATGCAGTCCTATGACTATGTCAGAATGAGGTGGGGCATCCTACCCTCACATGTTATAGGACCAAAAATTGACACTTTTCCAAACACTTTGATTCAAGTTCAAATGTACTGGGCATGAGGCTTAAAAAAAAAAACATATACTATATCTTTTTCCATCTTTGAGTGAAGTTACTCTTTTCTCTCCCAGGGAAACCCAGCAGCTGTACCTTTAGCTAGCAGACACACTGTGTTCACAGTTTGCTGACATTTGTTTAGCTGATAAAAATGTTGAATTTGAAATTACATGCTACTTAGAAAAACCTCACTTATAACACTATAGATAATACCACTGAACCTAAAGTAACAAATCTGTTTTGAAAATATAAGTAGAAAGTGTTGTGGAAAAATATAGGGATTGAAAGTAGTCAGAAAAATAAATACTCATACTATTGCAGACAGCTAAATCTAGCTAGTATAATAAGTGAAGTGTTTGTACTTAATTACTTCCCACCCCTGCTGGATGCATTTATTTGTACATTAAAAACACACACACACACACACACACACACACACACACACACACACACACACAGCATTTGAGCAAAAGGTTTTATTTCACCAGGCTTTGTTTATCACAAGAGAACTGGGAAATCTGTACTGAACTCATGACAAAACTAGATCTCTTCATGAATAAAACAAATGCTTGTCTACAGAGGCTTCTGGTAGATTAAGCTTAAACATCTTTGGAAAAAAACAAAAAAAAACAAACCAAAAAACTTTTATTGTCTTTATGACCAGAGAAAAGAATGAGATCTAATGATTACTCTGATGTTTACTTCGAACTTCTTTTCAGATGTCCACAGACAGGCACTCAATACTGTAGTCCTCAGAAAATATAATTGAATAATAAAAATAAAAGACAAAAGTCTATTTACACTCTCCTCTTTTCAATCTTCTTCCTGCTCCTCCTTTACCTTCTTTTTCTTTTTTTTCTTCTTCTCTGTTGTCTAGAGAGAGAGAGAGAGAGAGAGTTCGATCATTAAAGGGGAGGAAGAAAAAAAGGGATAATTTTAAAACTTTAGCTTCCATCTTACCTCAGTAACTGCTACCACCTCTTCTTCCTCTGGTTCTTCCATTTCCTCCTCTGTTTTCTTATCCTTCTTTTTCTTCTTTTTCTTCGGGGTGTCCTCTGCTGCCGCTGATGTTTCTGCTTGTTCTTCTTCTAAACACAGAGCCAGAACACTATCAGCATCACAGATCCAAATGCACAGGAGGCAGAGGATTGACTCCAAACTCACTCACCTTCTATTACCAACTCCCGTTTTGCCTTTTTGGGTTTGACTGCCGATGTCGTGGGCTCTGTGGCATCCTCTTCTTCTACCTCTTCAAACTTCCTCTTCTTCGATGTGGACGGAATCGTAGAATCACCTGACGGATCATAAATTCTCACTTCACTGTGAAGGAAAAGTAGTAGCAGGCATTAACCACCTTACATGTGTAGATGTGGAAATATGCAAAATATGCTGCAAGTGACAACTAACCTCTTGTGCTGGTATTTCTCTACCTTTGCCATTGCTTTGCCTGTTCCACTGATTCTTCGGATCTGAAAAGAAAATGTGGATTCAATGACTAAAGGAGGGGGGAAAAAAATAACAAAAACAGGGATTTTACCAGGATAACAGATTCAGAAGAAATACAAAAATCCATTACATATAGTACTTTTCTACCTGGACACTCAAAAGTGCTATATTGGAGCAAGATACTACTTGCATTTAGCATCTTGCTCAAGGACTGGGGATACTGGAGTAGCCAGACATGGAATGGCGAACTGTCTGATTAGTAGATGACCTGCTCCACCTCCTGAGGTACAGCCACATTTGTGAACATGAGCCAGAACTGCTGTTGTGTTCTTAGGGCTAATGTTCAGACTAAAGCAAAACGAGAAACTTTCCAGTGATCAGACAAATCAAATTTGCAATTCTTTCTAGAAAATAGGGATATCCAGTCCTGTGAACTATAGGGGCGAGAGGCCATGTGGCTTCTTATCAGCAGTCAGTTCAAAAGCCTCTGATAGTACAGGGATGCATTGATGGTTATGCAACTGTCACATCTGGAGAGGCACCATCAATACTGAAAGGTATACACTGGATTTAGAGCAACACAGGATTACCATCCAGAGTAGAACCCTTGCATAGTTAAACCAGACAAAACTAAACGGCATAAGGCATCTATTACATGGTTTCACAGTAGAACAGGTTGGGTACTGGTCTGACCCAGACCTTTGACCACTGGAATCCATTCACACATTACAACGAAGACAAGAAAAGGATGACATTCATCTTCCCAGTTCCCAGACATTTAAGGACTGCTATAACAAAATGGGGTGCTATGCTGTGTTAATTATTAAACAGCTTTGTCCCATCATTCAACACTACCTTTTTTGCTGCTTAAAAATGGTAAGTTTTGGATTTTAAACTGCTAAGACCCAAACTCTTCCATGACATGCATTTTTAATTTCTCTTTGATATTTGGACATATTGGGACCTAATGAATGTAAAAACAAAGAATTACCAGATTTTTATTTTTGCCCATTTTTTGTTCCACATATGAGGACATAGCTGTGGGCGGTATAAACAGTATACAGTAGAAACAATATAAATTTGACCAACGGTAGACATTTTGACTATACCGCGATAGCGCATGGTGACGGTCTCATCAAGCGGTGCCTGTTTTGGTCGAAAACATTGCAGCGGCTGCGAACAATATCTGCAAATTATGCCGGGCGACAGTAACAGCAAAGAGACAAAGCACTTTTGGGATATGGGAAAAGCCAAAAACTGCACTTCCTCCACTTCCGTACCATTGATTCATTAATGCTGAATTTTCTCGCAGCTGCTCTATTCCCATGTTGTTGCAATATATTAATGATTAATCTCTCAGTCAGAACATGGCATATCATGTTTAGGTGGAAACTAGTGAGCAAACTTCCTGCTAACTTCTAACGCCGTTGAATTTAATAAATTCTGTTTTCATGGATGCCTGGATGTTAAACTTAATTGTTAAACCTGGTAAAGCCGCAACGCTGATTATTTTATTAAAAATTAAAGAATTTAGACAGTTTTTAACTCTCAGTGATGCTGTAGTGTTTGACTGACTTTGGAACCTGAAGGAGGAGTTTTGGACCCAGATTACTCCACGAGGCTCCTGACTACGGCAGCCGTAAGGCTCCGGTAATCCATCAAGCTGTACGCCTTCATAGCTTACCAAAGTCGTATTAAATTATTTTTTTTTGACAGATTTCTGCGTACCATTTACCACATAAAATCAGTTAGAGGTCAGTAAGCACAACCAGAATTCATACATAAGGCACACTGTCAATTTTTGAGAAAATTAAAGGATCCTAAGCGTGCCTTATAGTGTGTAAAATACGTTATACAGAATATTGCGATATACATGTCACATGCTTCAAATTATACCGTGATATTGATTTTAGGCCATATTGCCCAGCTCTATGAGGACATTTGTTTTAAATTTCGATACAACAGTGGCAGTATACTGTCCTTGTAAGTGGATATCAGGCCCTTGTAGAGCAAGATTTAGTATTTTGGTCAGACAACCCAAAATGTGATGTCCACATATGTGGACGTCAGGGCCAAGGATGTTAAATAGCATCCCAACTTTTCTGGAATAGGGGTTGTAGCTGTACTTACCCCCTTATCTTCCAACTGACGTAGTCTGGCCTCCAGCTTTGCACGGTTCTCTGCACCCATTTCTGCATTTGTGTCTTCTCCGAGAGCATCATAGCGAATAGCCAGGGCTGCTTTAGCTGCCAGCATCCTGGAAATCTGCATTGGCATTACAGAAAACCAAAGCCTGAGTTGACAGCTTCACATTGTGGCCACCAACCATTATTCAGTCACATATCACACTCTAAGAACATACCTTGCCCTTGTTCTTAGCAGTTGTCTGGCCCACTAGAGAAGCATGGTATATGAGACCATACTTGGGTGTGTCTTTGCGCGTCTTCAGGGCTCTAAAAAGAGCCTTCTCTGCTCCAAGGATCTGGACTGTGGAGGCTGGATGCTTTGCCAGATTCAGAAGGGAACCTGGATCGCACAATGAATGAAACAAAGAACTGTAGCTATGGCGTTCTTCAAAGACCTGACTACTAGTGCTTTCACTGCCAGCTCAGATGAGGTAGTGACTTAAAACCATCAGTCATGTTCAGGAAAGTGACTTAGTGTCATCATCATCACTGCTAGGCCAGTTTTCACAAATGACATTCTCCCCCCCCCCCCAAATTCACCTGCATGTGAGATGAGACGGGCGCCAACCAGCTCCCCCACCATTACAGTGAGGTTGGGAGCGATTGCCATCATTCTGTTCTTCAGGTAGTCGTAGAGCTGAGCCCGGTATTCTGAAATCTCTACCACCTATGGGAGAAAAAAAAATAAAGAAAACATTCAAAAACAAATTCATGAATGCAGGGTACCAGTCACAAAAGGCAAAGACGCACAGAAAACCCTGTGTTTGCAACAGACAACAGTCATTGCCATCACAGTCACTGTAGCAAACAGTGAGCACACACACCTGATCACATAGGTGCCTGATGTTGCCAATGTCCTCCTCTGACACTTCTGTTCCCATGGAGATTTCAGCAGCCAGTTTAACCTCTGCCTCGATCTCCTCTGGGAGGATATCTGATAGATCAGAGCTGGCGACGTTTGTGCGATCACCTGCAGACACAAACATATGGCAGTTACTCAGGAATGTCACCACATGGAAGTTAAACCAATGCACGCAAGTCTTGGAGCAACAATACGCTGACTTTAAACAAGCTCAGAGCACTGTGGTTTACTCAGCCTGACAGGAAACCATAAAATTTTAAAGGATTGAAAGAGGCTCTGAATAAAATTTAAAGGTGCTAATGAATTTGAATGTGGAAATTGTAGGATGCTGTGTTTTTGCTGGCTTTACTCAAAATATTTAGGATATCTAGATATGCTTCTCTGACTGTGTTGTGCAAAAGCAGGATGGTCCTTACCTATCTTGCGGACACTCTTGCAGTAGGCTAAGTTGTCTGTGATCACTTTTCCCAGCTCAGGGAAATGCCAGCCATACCACTCTCTGCAACGCATTATGTAATTATTAAGTTCTTTGTCGAGGTCATCCAGAAGAGCTAGAAGCAAGGACGAAAACACAGTACAGCTGATGTTAACTGCTCAAATGATAATTTTTAGAGCAAAAATATCAATAATTGACATTTTTATTATCCCAAAAAGAAAAATCTAGATGTTTTCTTTGTTTGCAATGATAACAAACTGAAGGTTTTTGGACATTCTGAAAATAATTTAAACTGCTGATGGTTCTCTTGCACTACTGTCTGACATGTTGCAGGCACAACAACAGACATAACTGTGTAATACAACACTTACAAATAGCCTGCACAATCATTGTGTCCACCTTGTCAGGACTGAACTTCAGCTTGTAGCGGGATAAACTGCAACCAGATGAGAACACGAGTTAATTCAAATTTCTAGATTAATGAAGGGATTTTCAATAAGCCAGAGGATTGCTCCCTCAGTGGTAGTGACGAATGCTGAGAAAAATCTACACAAATATTTCAGACAGCAAATGTAATCATAGGCAGCAGTTGGATTCATATAACATAATATATGCACCACTAACCTGTGAGCCAACCCTAAAGACATAGCACTCATCTCCCTGGGAGGAAGTCCAGTGATGAGGCTCTCCATCTGACCCCTGATGCATCTCATCAGTTCAGCCACAGCAGGGCTGTGGACACAGCTCAGGTCCAGTTTTTCCTGAAGACCAGAAGTCATTAGAAACACAACGTTCGATAACAATGCTGTCTTTTAGGCTGACAGAAATATCAGTGACTTACTTTGATAACGCCACCGAGTTTTGCATCACTAATAGCCAGCTGCTCATGAGCTTCCTTGGCAACAACTTTCTTCAAGACCTTCTTCAGACTCTTGCCAAGTTTTCCCTCAACAAGGGCAGTTGCAGCTAAAAAGTGAAAATAGAGACTAAAATAAAGCTTAGCTGTGCTAAGCGCTTGCACAAAACACAAAAAGTGTCAACTCTCATATGTATGAGGAGGAATTGGTCTCAGCGGTAGTGACGACTGAGCAATACCTCATGTTTAATCAGACACAGCTTTGCATCACAGACTAATCTCAGGTGAACATTAGGGCTCAAATTTCTCATTACCTGCTAAAGCCTCTGTTGTGTCCTGGAACTTCTCAAAATGCTTCAGCTTAACACTGGTAGGACAAAAGGAAATATATGGAAGTTACATTTCATCTACGATTTATAGTAATAAGTCCATTGTTATATTTCAGGCATAAAGAGTGCCGCCAGGTGGTAAAATGTAACATCAGCACTTACATTTTATTGGCTTTTTCGGGAGTTTCAAACTCCTTATACAGGCTGTCGACCTGCTGCAGTTTGGATTCATTGAGAACCTTAAAACACAATACACAGACATTAGTTAAAAGAAATATGTAAAGCAGTGAGATGGCTTACATCGTTAAGAATGTAACTTAAAGTAATGGCTGATGGACGCATTTGAACAACCTACAATTCTAAAATGCATGTGGAGTCAGCACCACCTCAGTGTGCACACGTGGTTGCAGGCCCTTCACAGTACAAGCTTGATGTTCACTTATGACTTAGCCAAGCTCGTGCGCAAACAAAACACCTTTAAATAAAAATGTAATCCATATCCACAAGTACAACGAAGAGATTGCTTTTTTCATACCGTAAATAACACGTTTATGACACCTACCGACTCTCAGTGAACTAGCTGGATGGCTAATCCGCGCTAACGCAAATTGCCCCTGTGCTAAAGTCGCCCATTTTAAAAAGATTGCAAACAATAGTCGAATACTTACTTTGAATATTGCATATCCAGCTGCGGTTTCAAACAACACGAGCATTTTGGCAACGCCTTAGTGCAGTTATTGCGCACACCTCTGGAGCCTTCACGTTTCCACCTCGATCACCACGCTGCTGCTCTCACTCTGAAACACACGCGGCGTGGACAGGGCACCAGGAAACTATTGGGTTGCCAGGTTCGTTCACATCGGTCGCTATCCCCCGAGCTTAACATTAAAAAGACAATTTAGGGTTTATTTATAGATAAGCGGAAGAAAATGTTTCTACGGATGGGTGTATCGCGGTGTATCTAATGCACCGTATTGTCAATGTATTTTTACGTTTTCTTTACCTTAGAATATGTTTCTGCTTCTATTGTGGAAAAAATACACTTTGAAATACGTTTAATTACGCACACAGCATACAGGTTAATAAAATCGAGCGAGCGGCCACTTAGCTTATGACGCTTACAAGATTTATGTGTTGCTCTTTAGACAATGCAGTGCATTTATAATATCTACCAGGCGGCTTTTCACCAAAAATGGCAACCCAAGAGAATTTGTTACATTAAACCTCGCGAGAAGTTGTAGCCAACTACTGGTAAAATCAAAATTGCAGTCTAAGTCTCAAGTATAATTTTTTTTTACCACAAAACTTTTTATACATATTAAAATACTTAACGTAAGTATGTATAGACATATATTTATTCGTTTTCGTCTGTGTTGGTTTATGGTCTTCCTTCTTTGGCGGATGTGACGAAACCATAGTTCGCTCAAAGTAAATACATGCGCCTATGAGGGCAACGCGTTGAGGAGAAGTTTCTCTAGAACTACCTTCATTCTCAGCGTGAAGAAAGATTTTGGCCTGGCGGTATGAACGAGTCGGCAAACTATCCTCCGCCCGACTTTGGCTCTCCTCCTTCCAATTCCTTCCAGTCGTTCCAGCAGCAGCAGTCGCACTCGAGTAGCTTCCATCCCACCATGTGGAGCTGGAGCGAAACGCCTACCGAACACACCTGGGGCTGCGACAGTAGTGTTGGCAGGCACCACGGGTCAGCGGCAAGTTATGGGTTCTCATCAAACCGTGGAAACCACGGACCTACACATACATACAGTGAGTGGAATATACAGTAGTTTCCCTATTGAAGATGGGTTCCTTCATGTTACTGTCGCCCTAAAGTGCCATGAAGGACCACATAATGTAAAGACTGACTTACACCATGGGGTTCTGCTCTAACAAAAAAGTCATAGATTTAGCAGTTATGTTGCAGTTAAGGAATAAGTGTTTAAAGCTTTATAGCATGTGTGAATGCAGCAAGTGGCGTCAGTGGGTTATTTGGTGTTAAAACACTTGAATTCGTTTCATAAAAGCCAACTAGTGACAGAACGGATACATCCGTGGAAAACAAGGAAAAATAAACTAAAAACAAAACCACATCCCCACAATAACTTTGATAGCAGATGTGTAGTTTAAGATACATGCAGTGCGCCTTTAGTCGCCATAAAGGACATGTCCGTGTGTCTGTTTTTTAAAGAAAGGTGTGTTTGAATTTCTTGCGTGTGTTTTCAGGTCAAAACTTTAGTCATGAATGGGATCGAGGTGGACATCAAAGCTACCGAGCTCCCAGCCATCATGGAAAAAAGGTGACATTTCTGAGAACTTTGTATTTATATTTAAAGTGAATGGAACGTTGTTGGGAACTTTGAGCTTTTCACCCCTTGCAGAAAAACAGGAAAGAACCAGAGTATTCCCATTTTTGTGACACCTGCGACCGGGGCTTCAAAAACCAGGAAAAGTACAATGAGCATGTTTCTCAGCATGTCAAGGTATTTCACTCTAGGCTACTTACTAGATATATATTAGTGCTGTTCACATTGATATTCTTTACTTTTTACTGAGAGCTCCAATTGAATCCACTTTTAGTGTTCTGTGGCTGACTGCAGCTTCATGGCCCATGAAAAACTTGTCAGCATACACTGGAAAAATGTAAGTGGAAGAAGATGATGTAAAGTGATTAGCTTGTAGTAGTTCCCCTTTTCTAATGTGAATACTCTGTGTTGACAGAACCATGCACCAGGAACTAAAAGAATCAAACTGGACACACCAGAGGAGATTACTAAATGGAGAGAGGAAAGACGCAAGTTAGTTAGAAACTGTGGCAGTCATGAACTTTTGATGCAATTTTGCCATTAGTTAAGCCACATATGCATACTTCCCATGTCCAGTCATTAATTTGTCTTTACTGGTTTACTAGAAACTATCCAACACTTGTGAATATTGAGAAGAAGAAAAAAGTCCTGGAGGTGCGGGAGGAAACGGGAGCTGTCCTGGAAACAGCTCAGTTTGGGTAAATGTTTACATTTGAATGTATAAATTATGGATTTTGGTGTGCATCTCTTTTATTTTCTATTTTGATATACATTTTTTTAATTTGAAATGAAGTCTGTCTTACCAAAAAGTTAACTTGCATAAGCAATGATGTATTTATTTTCAGACGAATGAGAGGAAGAGGCAGAGGTCGTGGTTGGAAAAACAGAGGATTCCAAGGGCGACATCTGAGACGGCCACACTCATCGGACTGCATTGTTACAGAGAAGCCTAAACCACTCACCCACCCATGCAGGGACGGGGATCCACTCGGAGCATTAGCCACTAGTGACCATGGTGAGTTAATTGACCAAAGTTCAATCAAGCCTGTGCACAATCACCTACATAGAGGACAAGATCAAAAAGCTTTCACTGGTTATCCTCTGGTTATTCTTTGATTGAAATACACAGACACCCCTATATAGTGATAGTGATATATATAGTGCTCTGTTTTTCATTGGCTCCAAGATTCTGACAGAGATGAGTCCAGGACCAGTGGCTTGGTTGTGGCCCCTAAGAAGATGAGCTCAGCTCTGGGATCCCTAGTAGCAAACTACGGATCAATGACCGAAAGTGATGATGAACCAGGTGAGCACATAGTGTTTGCTGGATAATAGTCCAAAATCTTCACCATGCAAGAAAAATGCTAATGATTCTGTCTTGTTGAATTGTTTTGATTTTGTTGTTAATTTACACTTTTTACTACCTCACCTATGTCGCTTTTCCACTACCACCTACTTTACTCATCTACTCTGTTTCAGTCTTTTTACATTACCACCTCAATTTGGGTGGGGTTGTTATAGCAGCGCAACCCTAAAGTTCCTTGACATGAAGCACAAACGTAAATGGACTTTTCTACCCTCTCTTGGGTGCAGTCTGATGACATTTCATTTTCGGCTCAACTCTGCTCACTTCAAACCCCGGCCCAATAAGTGCTAAAAAAGTACCTGATACGGTACCACTGCCTACCGAAAAATCCTAAAAATCAAGCTGACTAGAATGGAGCCTTGCTTGCACGAATGCAGACTGTATTCTTTTGGATCCAATACATGTAAATTTGTCAGTGGGCACGTGCAAGAGTAATATACTTATAGAGTTTTTTGTTTGTGTGTGTGTGTGTGTGTGTGTGTGTGTGTGTGTGTGTGTATTAGGGGTGCAACGATACACAAAATTCACAGTTCGGTTCATTTCGATACTTTGGTGTCTATGTCAATGTTCTAATTTTTCATGTGTCTGAGCGAACACACAAACTCCCTGAGCGGTCCCTTGGACCACTGTGAGCAACAGCAGACGTGTGCACTGTGGTCACGCCAGCATCTAATCCATCCAAGTTACATGGTTTATTAAAATAATCAAATTACAGCATTTACATTTATGTTAGACTACTTTTAATTAACTGCTTTAGCCCACTTACTATGAAAATTTAAAAAATCTTGTTCATGACCTGTGCAGTATGTTAACACTATTGGAAGTAAAAATAACTTGAACTCCAATTTTGAAAGTGCAACTTTTTTTATTTATTTATTTATTTATTTATTTATTTATTTATTTATTTATTTATCATAAAGCTCTGACTTGTATTATGAGTACGAGTCTGTGGTCTGGAAGAGAGTTCTGTAACTCTGTATATAATGACCAATGTTGGGCAAATAATTATATAGTTATTTCTACAAAAAAGTTACTGAGTTTTGCAAACAAATTTTTTTGCAGCTGTTTACCTATAAATGCTGCCAAGGCATTTTTTTTAAACAAACATTTCAAAATATTAACAGAACAATCAGGTGTTCTGCATCAAATTTGATGCCACACAAATTATTTGTGCCACTCCAAAAAATAATTTCTGTCCACTATGAGTTAAAGGAGAACAACAGCCTGATACCTGCAGGCCTGACAACAGGAAATGTATCATTCCTGTAACACCTGTAACATTTAGCAGTCGCCTCATTGTTCTGACACACACGACAAAACTGTTGACTACACTACACACTAACTACACAAGATTTGCGCTAAACATCGCAAATCTCTCACATCTCAAAACACTCCTAAGACTTCCTCCCGTGTCTTAATAACTAAATGCCATGTTGCCATATAATTTTTTTTGATTGATTGACATGGTACATTTTTCGACCAATGGGAAAGGCTGGGGGCTGGGGGTTGGTTTTGTTTTTGCTCAAACGCCGAGAGTGTTTCGATGGTTTTCTTTATAAAACGTTGTCTTTACCGTTTCTTCCCACATTGAATATAAACAACGATAGTATTCAGGGGAAAAAAACAAAACAAACATTTCATATATTTTTATCATAACTCTGGTTTTACGTGGCCTATTAACACAATTTAAAAACTGGTATAAAGTCCACACTTTTTCCGTCAATTGGTCCATCTGTCCTGCTCACATCTCCAAGATGGGCCAAGATGTGAACGGTCTGCTACAGAACTTGCTCTGTCTTAAAACTCCTTTATAAGCAGCAAAGCGAACTTTAAGGTGCACACTTCTAGCTGTATGTGATGGCAAAAAACCTGGGCTCAGATAAGAGAGCTCTTATCACTCCTACACAGCAAATCCAGCATGTCCAAATTAACACTGTCGGATTTGATTT